GGGAGACCTGAGTTATCCCAGTGTGCCGAGGTCATCCCTGAGCATCCTTACACGTAAAATAGGTCCTTACTTGAAATAAAGAGCCAAGACGGGGAAGGGGCACAGCTCAGCGTCTCTGGAAGCTGGGAAGGGGAGATGAGCTGTCCCCACAAGCCTCCAGAAGGAACCAGCCATGCCAATTTTAAACCCCAATTTTAGCCTGATGAGACTCGTTTTGTATTCTGGCTTGCAGAACTAAAAGGTAACAAATTTGTCTTCTTTGAAGTCACTAAACTTGTGGCATCCACAATTGCAGAAAACGAAGGCAGTTTCTGGTCCCAGGAGTGAGGCGCTACTAGAACAGACCCCTAGAACTGCAGAAGCGTCTTTGGAATTGGGCAGTAGGCAGAGATGGGAAGACTTCCGCGGGGCATGATAAAGCCCAGAGTCGCTGGGCAAATGGTTGGCAGAGTCAGGGAGGTGACAGAGAAGGGCCAGTTCATCTCTGAGGGAACTTAGAGTTGCTGAGATCATCCTCTGAGCAGAAATAGCAGTGTTTGAGGTGCTGTTGGGAGGGCCAGGAGCAAGGAAGCTGTCGTGGGGAAGGCGCGGCTGAGCCGTCCTTTCTTGCTGAGGAGAGCAGGACCCGCACACAGCTAGCTTGGGCATTCAGTAGATGGACTGGTGGCGGCAGCAAGGTCCCATCTTGCCGCTCATGCAGTTGAGGAGGAAGGAGAGCCCTTGAGTAGCAGGGAGCTCGCAGCAGCCTAGCCAAATCGCAGAGGAGATTGTCCAAGGAAGGGCTGAGGGTGCAGCAGATGAGCTTTTGCTAGTACTTCAGGAAGGTCAGAGGGCTCTTGAAGATACAAAGTGGGTGGCTAATAGACACCTTTGGTCGTCTAAGCAGAAGTCAAAATAGAGAAAAGGTGGTCTGCAGGGGCCTGTGGAAAGCCCCTGGTCTCCTGGCGTGAATCCACATGGTCGAGGTAGAGACCCATGAGGTTCTGAGAAAGTGCTGTCCTCAGAAACCTTGCCTGCTGGACCCGAGAGGAGGAGACGGGGTGAGATAAAAGCCTGTTGGGCCCCCAGAGTTCTGCAGCCAGGAAGTGGCGAAGGAAAGCAGACCTGCTGCTTTTCATTAAGAGAAAGCTGGGCTAGTGGGTGTCACGGCACACACTGGTGATCCTAGCCACTTAGGTGTCCGCTGTAGGAGGCCACCCTGGACAACTTAGGAATCAGAAAGGGCTGGGGTGCGGCTCAGTGGTAGAGCACCCCTGAGTTCACTCCCCAGTGCAGGGGAACAGGGAGACTGGGGGTCAGAGGGCAGGGTGTGAATGTAGGGGCAGAGCCATGAGCCACAGGGACCTGTACAGCTGCTTGGGCTCTGCCCTGCCTCTGTGGCTAGAAAGCACACAGAGAGACTTTGCCCAGGAAGGACCACACCCAGAGTGTCACCCACCTCATGTGCAAACAGGGGCTAGTCAGTAGACCTGAGCAAGTAAAATGACGTCTCTCACCCCAACGTGCTCGGGTCCCAGTGCCTGGATCCCACCAATGTCCTTGACACAGCTGGGGTTTTAAAGTATAGATGGGTGAGCACTATGAAGTACTGGCCTGGCGTGGAGATGGACCAGGCCCTGTGTGACCAGAGGCCTTAACATGAAGCGGCAGCAGAGGCAGAGCCGGGAGCTGAAGACAGCCGCGTGCAGCACAGCCTGCTCTCCTGCTCTGAAGGTGGACAGGGGCCCTGACCCAAGGGGCGCAGGGAGGCCTCAGGCTAGAAAGGCTGGGTGGTGGAGCCTTCCTTGAGCCCCAGAAGAAACAAAGCCCTGCCGGAACCTTGATTTTGGCTCTGTGAGATCACTTCAGTGAGCCCTACCAGTTCTTGACTCCAAAACCACAAGAGAAGAAGTTTATGTTCTAAACTACTGTTGGGGGTAACTTGTTATAGCAGCGATAGGAATCTAATCCCTCTGTAAAATGGGCCACGAGGCACTCCCAGGGTCTGTTTTGAAGGCCTTTAATAAGACGATCCATCAAAGGAGGAGCCATAGTGCTCCTGGGTGTGTGACTACCATGAACTCCATGTCCCGGCGCAGGCTGGTGCTGGGCTTCTGGGTGGGGACTCCTCTCCCTGCTCCTCAGCCCACCCTGTCCCCTCCTCAGGCATTGCTGCCTGATGTCCTCCATGGTCTTCTCTCCACCGACCCTCCTCTTTCTGGCTTCCTGCTGAGCTCCCTCTATCCCTTGGCAGATGATACCAAAAGAAGCTTGGGTGGTGACAGGAAGTGTGTGCGTGTGTTGGGGGAGGTTGTCCAGGGAAGGGAAAGTGTTAAGGGCGAGGAGAGAAGACTGAGAAGAGGGTGGGGAGGGGGCAAGACGGGAGGCAGAGTTGGCAGTGAGGCCCGGGCGCCTCTGGTGATGAACTCCCTGGCATAGGATGGGTGGCCGGGCAGCTGGCCCGTGGAGCACTGAGGATCCACCCTCTCTCAAGCTCCTAGGCCTCATGACGCCAGGGACTCTGTACTCAGGAGGCCAACTTAAAGTGGGGACTGAAGCTGGGACAGGCTCCCTGTGAGCAGAGGCCTGTGGGTGCTCAGCGTCTCCTCCCTGAGCTCACCTCACCCTACGTCAGCTCCTGCCGCACTCAGCCCCGGCAGGCACGAGTCAGCCATCCCCACTGTCCACCTGTAGAGCCACTGCTAGCTGACTGGGAACCCAGCACTCGGGCCAGGCCGTGGTAGGCACACACCCAAATGCACCCGAGAACTAGGGATTGGGAACCCCACCCAAGTCCTGATTTTAATTTCTTCATAGGAATAACATTGAGGATCATTGGCTTTATGCTAAGTCTAAAGTGCTCAGGACAGTGTCTGACACATAGGAAACCTTTTGTATCTATTTTATTTTTTTATATAAATACAGTTTGGGGATGAGCTTGCTTTGGCTTCTGTTAGCTGAAACCAAGAGAGCTTGGTGGGAGAAGTGAGACTGAAGGGCAAGGCCCCTTCCTGAGCCACGCACAGGGGCAGCAGGTGTGCAGATGGGAAGCGGCAGGTCTTTTCAGTCGATTGGTTTCCTTCTGGGACTCAATCCAGGGCACATTAAGCAAACCGTAGACTTCTGTGTGCAGTGGGTCTGTGTGGTCAGCTCTCAGAAAAGCACCGTAGGACCACAGGCCAAGATTTCCTACCCACAACCTGCAACCTGGCACCTCCAGAGCCAGCCAACTCTGCACCTTGCTCGATGGTGGCACCCAGTTCCTTCCTGGAACCTCTCTTAAAGCTCACATTAACTGAGATAATGTGCTACGCGTCACAGCAATAGAGTCTGTCCCCTGGCTGCTCTCAGTGTCTTCTGGAAACCATCTCCCTTGAGGACATAGTGACATCCAGGATGGGGATGACCCCAGCTTCACCTCAGCACTCTTCTTCTGGACTTTGAGCTCAGAGCTAAGCCAGAAAAACATGGTGCTCTCAGGCTTTCTTCCTTCTTCAAGATGGTATACCAGCCAGATGCTGAACTTTAGAATAGGGCCTCAACCGTGCCATCCCGCCCCAGTAGATACATGGCAATATCTGGGAGAACTTTTGGTTGTCACAGCAGAAGTGGAAGACAGTTTCTGGTAGGTATTGGGCAGAGGCCAGGAATGCTTCAGAGCCCCCCAGAGCTTCCACAGAGCACCGGATGACCCCACCACAGTCAGCCAGCCCCCAGTGTTGGCACAGGTGATGGAGCCCTTCTCTAGAGATGGCAGGGTAAAGGCTGGGCACTGCCTCTAGGCCGCGCTGCAGCCACGCCTGGAAATGGTGGCTTTGTGGACATGGTGTTCTCTGCTCAGAACCCTGATGGAGATTGCCCCATCTGCCTTCAGGCTGTGGGGGACTCCTAGGCCCTCCCAAACATGGGGCCTGCTGTCTTCTGGCCCTGGGAACAGGATCCACCCTTTATGCTCTCACAGCAGAAGGGCAGCCAGGCTGTGGGTGACATGGTGCCATGGCCTGCGACCCTCCACAGTGGGTGTGACTGAGACCATCCTTCAGCAACCTTGGACCCTTACTTCTGGGCCAGGTCAGTGTCCAGCCTGCACTCTTCCCGAGTAAGGAACAGGAAGGCTCATTCTCAGGAGAAAGCCCAGGTGCTAGGTGACCCTGTGCAGGTCTCAGGGTGCTAGTGGAGCTGCAGGGATGAGGTGAGGACAGTGCTCCTGTTCCCTGCTGCCCTGTCCACAGCAGAGCTCCATGCCAGCCCTGTCCCTAAATGTGGTACTGTCTCAGACCAGGGCAGTCTGGGGAGATGACGCAACATGTGACTGACCATGGCTGCCTGGACCCCTGTGCAGGGGTTGTTCTCAGCTGGGCAGAGCCAACACAGGCTCACACCGGGATGAGAGCCACCTCGGGGCGTCTCTGCCTTTCCTGAACCCACCCCCCGGATGAAGACCTTGCATCAAGTGTGGATGGAGACCTTGCATCAATTGTCTTTTCGGAAGGAATTTATTGTTCTGGAACTGAAGTTGCTCACAGTCATCTGACAGGGGGTACACTGGATGGGGACGTCCGCGTGAGTCCGCGTGTGTCTGGAGTACAAAGAGGAAGGCCAAGGAGACGCCGCTGTGCCGCATGGCTCTGTCTCCTGGACAAGCCCCCGCTCAGGCTGTGCTGCGTGGCTCTTGCTGTTACAGGTGTTTGGTTTTGTTTTATGCCTGGAATCCCAGCCTGTGGTGGAGTTTCAATGTAACAGAAGCATTAAAATCTACACAAGGGGCCGGCAGGGGAGACACCACAGCAAAGGCATGCATCGGGCCTGCCCCCGCCTCCTGCGCCGCCCTGCGTCTGGTGCCAGCCTCGGGGGCCAGGCCGGCTGGACAGAAGGGACGTGAACGGAAGCCGGAGGCAGGGTGGAGCAAGGCGGGTCTGCGGTGGACAGTGGACAGCAGGCAGCGGGCAGGGTGGCCAGGCCCCTCACCTCACCACGTACAGGAGAAACACACTGCAGAGGCACACGCCACTGACTTTGTCTTTTTTTTTTTTTAAAGCTTTTTTTTTTTAATTTTAATAAAAAAAATGCCCCGAGGTGGGCCTGCCATCCCGTGTGTCAGTGGGGTGCCAGCCCAGGGCCCTCTTTCTACCCCTTCACCCTCAGACGCTAAACCAAGGTCACCCAGCCTGGCCTGGCCAGAGGGGCAGAGGTGTGGGTCACAGGGCGGTCTCAGCCGCCCTGCTTAGGACCACACCCAGCCCCAAGCCCCCCAACAGAGCTGGTGCTGCTTCTAGGCAGCAATAAAGCCACCTGGGGCAGAGCTACCCGCGCAGTTCTTTAAATATATATATGTATATGTATATAGAAATAACCAAGAGCAAGGAACCAAAACACAGAATCTCAGCCCTGCCCCCGCGGTCCCCCCACCCCCACACCCTTTTCCAAAAACAACCAAGAAAAAAAAGTTTATAAAAATATCTTGCAGGAATTCTTTAAAGTTTACAGTAGCTTGCCAGCGCGCATCTACCGGCCAGCCCCCTGCCCCCAGCCCCCAGCGGCTGTGTCCTCAGAGGGCACCTTGGCTCCGGACCCACCCTGCCCGAGACAGACAGACAGACGGACGGACGGACGGATGGCAGGGACAGACAGCAGGAGGACATGCCGCCACCCCTTCCCTGAACAGAGAACAGAGAAATAAGGAAACTCAATAAATTAAAATAGCAAATAAATAATACTGGTCTCAGCCCAGCCCCACAGCCTGGCCAACCCCGGGAGCTCCGGCGCCCACAGGGTCTGTTCCACTCAGCCAGGGAGGACCTTCAAAGCCAGGTGTGCCCACGGCCCCCAGTGAGGCAGTGGAGAAATGGATGCAGATGAGACAGGAGGTGGCCCTGGAGAGGCCGAGGTTCGGAGGAGAGGAGACGGCCGGGAGGCCTCCAGGAGCGGCTTCACCTGCCACGGCCCCTGCCCCGGAGACGGCAGGGCAGGCTGTCCCTGCCGCAGGTCTGCTGGGCTGGAGGAGGCATCCGGAGCCGGGCCCTCCTCCCGCGGGCCATGCGGAGCTGCACGGGGGCCAGGGGCGGTGGACGTGCGCTGGCCTTGCCGCCTGCCCGGCAGCAGCAGGAGGAGGGAGGGCGGTCCGCAGCAGCTGCCTTCGGTCAGCCAGTGTCCGCGCGGAGCAGAGGGTGGCCTCCTGGAGGTGGCATGTTAGCTTTTCGGGATAATTCCTGGTATCAGAGCGGAAACAAGCGACGTCGTCAGAGACAGGCAGAGACAATGACCGCGAGAGAGAAAAGAGAGCGAGCGGCGCCCCGCCCGCACGCCGTGGCCCCGCGCTCTCCTTTGCTCCCAGGCTTGGAGGCAACGTCTGGGCGGGCGGCTGGCCCGGGTCCACACTAGGCGGTGGCGGTGGGCACCGCGGTCAGCGCTGTTCTGGGGAGGGACTAGTGTCTAAGGCTGCTCGCAGCGGGCGGCGGGCGGCCCCATCCCGGCCGTGTCCTTGCCCATGGGGTGCTCGGCGTCCCCTCCAGGGCCAGCGGCCGCGGAGTCGCCGAGGGGGCCGTGGGCACTCCGCTTGGCGGGCGTGCTGGGGGCTTGGGCCGCCTGCCCGTTCTTCTCGTCTGAAAAAAGTTGTTTAATTACGTCAAAGAAGTTACTCAATGGGCTGCCTGGGTACACAGAACAGAGACAAAAAAAAAAAAAAGAAAAGAAAAAGAAAGGGGTGGGGGAGAAAGAAGAAGGGAGGGAAGGAGAGAGAACAAACAAACAAATGAACGGAGAGGCCTTGAGGAGGAAGAAAAGCCCAAGGAGGTGTCTGAGAGGCGGGCGGGCAGGCCGGCAGGGCTGCAGCAAGCAGGCGGCAGGCGGGAGGCTCTGGCACCCAGAGGGGCCGCAGAGCCCTGGGAACCCCTCCTCTCCCCTCCCAGCCTGGGGCCATGTGGGCTGGCGGACCCCGTTCTGGAAATAGTGGTGTAAAGGCCAGGGCCCACTAGGAACCCCAAGATTGAGCAGGACCCTGAGGTCAGCAGCTGCCCCCTGCAGGAGCCTGCACAAGGGTGGGGAGGCTGCAGCCAGCACCCAAGGACTCAGCAAGGGAATGTGCCTCCCGAGAGGCCTGGAGCCAGCCCCTGGCCAGCGTGGACATTCAGCAGCAGACAGACAGATGGACGGATGGGTGGACAGGCATGGAGGGCATAGGCAGGCAGGCAGGGGTCTGGGGACAGACAGCTAGGCCAGGTTCCTGGTCCCAGAAAGCAGGAAGAATGGGCAGAAACAGGGTGACCACCCCTCTGGGGGCCTGTGCTCACTGCCCAGGCACGCCATTGGGGCACCTCAACTCTACTTCCTAACCTGACCTCCATCTAAGCCCAGAGCCCTGCAGGCCTCCTCCTCACCCTGCCAGGCCCAGCCGGTGGACAGAATCCATTCTGACTCCAGGCCAGCACCTGTACCTTGGACCCTCACCAACTTCAGGTATGGGGACCCCTCCCTTCCTGCTCCAAGCCTTGGGGTCCCTCCTGTGCCTGCCCTGGTCCTTGGGATGGACAGGGGCTGCGCAGGGAGGGGAGTGAGTGATGGATACTGCTCCTGGCAGAAGATGGGGGCCACGGGGCAGGGAGACTGGGTGGTCGGGTGCCTGTGCATTCACAGAGCCTCCAAGAAGCCTCAGGAGCACAGGGCAGCACTGGCCAGGTGGGCTGTGGGGTGAGCAGTGGGGCCAAGGCTAAGGTGCAGGTGAGCGTGAGGGATTCTTACCACATTTGGAAAGCTGCCCCGTCATCATTTCCATACAGTTAGTGGTGTCTGGAGCACAGAATGGAGAGAGGAGGGAGGGAGAGAGTGAAAAAGGCTGCCCACTCCTACCTGACCGGCCGGCCACCTGCAGCCTCTGGCAGGGCCCAGAGGGGTTGGGCCCAGATGGGTGGGGCCAGGAGTGGGCAGGGCCCAGACAGGGAAGATCTAGGACCAGGCGGTGCTGGGAGTGGGCAGGGGCACAGGGCTAGGCCCTGAGGGCAGGGCTTAGAGCAAGGACAGAGTTGAGCTAGTGGCAGGGGTCAGGGCAGGAATCGCCTGCCTGCAGTGGGGCGGGAGCCAGGTGGCAGTGGAAGATCCCCAGCAGCCAGAGCCAGAAGGCAGGATGTAGCCCTGTCCTGGGGTCTGCCTGACTCCTCTGTCCCCTGCCTGACTTAGGACAGACAGACTGCTCTGGCATGGTTTACACTGGCCCCTGTGCATCTTCACTCTGCCACTCAGGCACTGCATGGGGTGGCTCCCACTCACCCCTCAACTTGTCTTGGCCCCCCCTTCCTTGGCCTTCTCCCGCCCTCTGCTGAGCCTGGGAGTGTCCTGCTGGCAGGGGCCAAGGCTGGGGTGGTAGCAGAGCCCTGGGGTGGGAACTGTCCCTCCAAGCCCTCCCTGGGGCCTGCAGACAGATGGACATGTTCATGTGGTCTGCTCACTAGGGGCCTCTCAGCCTCCCCACCCCCACCCTGGGCTGGGTTCCCTGTCAGAGTGGCCACCAGGGTTCTGGAGGACAGGAGGTCCTGAGGAGCTGCGCTTGTCCCTTCTGTGAGGGACAAGCTCTGGAGCTAAGTCACTGAAGTATGGAGGAGGACGCCAGGAAGGGCTGGGAGGCAGGAGGCCCATGGCAGGCAACAGTGGGACAGGCTGAAGTCCCTGGTCCACAAGGGGACAGACAGGGTCCAGAGTGAGCACCAATAGTCTGAAGAGCAGCGCTCAACAAAGGCCAGGGCTGGAGGCTGGGGCTCTGCTCGTGGGGATGCCAGGAACAGAGAAGGACCTCAGCAGCTGAGTGGCCCCAACCTGGGCTTCATCTGCCCCCAGACACTCCCACCCTTCCAGAGCCGACGCAGCCTGTCGTCCTCAGCTCAGTCACCTGGCACTGCCTGCTGCGTCCAGCCTCTGTTTCCCTCTGCTCTACGGTGGGGCCTGGCCCTTAGGAGGCACAGGCTGCTCAGGTCGACTGCACGTCCCCCTGCCCCAAAACAGTGCCTGCCTGGGCACCTGGCCCACCCTGCTTCCTGCCCACTGCACTGGCTGGCTCCCAGGAGTGGGGGCTCCCTGGAGTCTGGGCCAGGGCTAGGGCTGTCACCGTGGGGTGACGAGGTGCATGTTGGAGGCACATCCACTGATGATGGGAGGAAGATGGAATGAGATGGGGGCAGGGTTAAACAGGACCTCCAGGACCCCACACACGCACAGAAGTGATGGACAGGCCCCAGCTGTGGAGACAGCAGGCTGGGAAAAGGGCCCAGTGAGACCCAGCTGGCTTGGGGCTCAGAGAGGCTGGGCTTGGGCTGTTTTGTGTCTCCAAAGCCCCAGCCCCCTTGCATGACTCACCATGACCCCATGCATACACTCAGCAAACCCTTGGCTAACAGACAGCCATGCACGTGCCCAGGTCCTGCCTCCTGGGGCCCACACGCGTGTGCCATGCACAGGGCCAGGTGTGCAGCTGTTGCCTCTCCCCACCAGATGCCAGTGGCCTGGATGCCCCTGCTGGCCAGGGCCTAGCAGCCCTCCCCTGAGTACCCTGCTCTGCGGCCAGGTCCCTGTGCTGCTCAAGGCAGGGCTTCAGGTAGTCAGGAGCTGCAGGGAGATGGGGAGCCCCAGCCCTCTTAGGGTGCTGTGGCAGGGAGCCCCAAGGGGCAAGGCCTGGGTCTCTACTCCCAGAGCCTGCTCAGGTTGCCCCAGTGTCCAGCTGCCTGGGTGCTGGGCCCGCTGGCCTGTCCAGGGCCAGAACAGACGAGGGGGCCTAGGGTGCCCCTCTCAAGGCCAGCCTGGCTCTTGCCAGGCCCTGCCCGCAGCCCCTCCCCACCCCGGCAGCAGGCCGGACACCTTACCTGCCAGCGTCAGAGGCTACTCTCGTAGCTGGTGGCCACCTTCTGGCCCTTAAGCCCAGCACCCCAGCTTAGTCCTGGCACTGGCGGGGGGGGTTCTACAGTGGACAAGAGGCACCTTTCAGTGTGCTGCCGCCCGCTGTGCCCGGGGAGGGGCCCTGCTTCCTGAGCGGTGCAGCCACAGCTTGGGGCAGGGAGGCCGTGCTGGGCCCTCACACCTCCCATCCACACAGCGCCACTGGCCACACCCACTCGCTAGCCACAGGTGCCCTAGCTGAGCCTCCGCCTCACCTGACAGGTGCTGGGCAGACGGCTGGTCATGGGTGCTCAGCAGCTGGGCCTGGATGGTCTCCACCACCCTCTTGAAGCGGCGGCTGGGACCTGGGGGAGATGGGGGTCATATCCCTGTGCCGCACAGCCATCCAAAGCTGCCCCCGGCCACAGGCTCACCTGAGAGCAGGGTGAAGGTGACAGAGTAGATGCCGTTCTCCTTCTGGGCCTCACCACCCTCCGTGTAGGTGATGTCCACCTGGAACTTGACCGGCTTCTGGAACACGGCCGGGCCCCCCGTCGCCTTGTACTCAGCCCGGAAGCTCGTCTGGGAGATGACGCTGTGGCTGAGGCTGGGGATCTGAAGAGCACACAACGCAGCATGAGCGTAGCCGGCCCTCCTGGGAGGCAGCCTGGGAGGCAGCCCTGCAGCTCTGCCCGGCTCAACCCAGAGAATCCAGGCCGCAGGCCCCATGCTCCTGAATCTGTTTCCAGATCTGTGAGGCAGGCGTGGTGCAGGCAAGACTAACAGAGTCACTGTCCCCAGCCCCCGCCTGTCAGGAGCATGTAAACTGTGGCCCTGGGGTCTGTGGGAAGGGCCTGCGGGGAGGACCAGGAGAACCCCTGCAGCCTGAGGCTGGGGAGCAGGAGCTAAGGGGAGCATCAGAGCACCCCACTAAGGGTGCAGTCTGTGTCCCCTGCCCTGAGTCTTCCGGAGCCCAGGCACACAGAGGCTGAGTCCTCCCCAGCTCAGTCAGATCCCCAGTGCTGAGCAGCATGGGCAGAGCCATGGCAGACAGGCCGCACCAGCACATGGCCTCTGGCCAGCACTGGGAAGGGACCAGGGCCCTGGCTCTGGCTGACGCTGGGCTGGCGACCCAGGAGCAGCATGCAGGGACGTGGAAGATGGGGCTGGGAAGGGGACAGGCCCAGGCCTGAGAGCAGTGAGGGACTGCAAGAGAACAGGTGTCTTCTGCAGCCTGAAACCCAACTGCTCTCCCAGGCTGGGCATCCCTGGCAGGGTTTGGAGCCATCTCTGGGCACCAGGGGAAGTCCTTAGGTGTAGACACACAGGTAGTAAGGCTTGAGGGTCCCTCGGGCAGTGTGTCCAGTGGGGAAGAGCCACCCTGGGGGGGGCATCCTCAGTGTGGATGACCACAGTACAGGATGATTCTCCTGGGCCCAGTGCCAGCATATTGTGGACCAGGATGGACTAGGGTGGGGGTATGAGCTAAGAAGGCCTCAGACAGGCCTGGCCTAGCACAAGGCAGTCTCAAGACAGGACACAGGCCAGGACAGGATGTCAGCAGGGACAGAAGCCCCCTGAAGGGACCGAGAGCTCACATCCTGGCTAAAACAATATCTCTACTCAAGTCTTTGAGGATCCTTCTGCTCTTCAGAACCCAAAAGATGAGACACCCATTCAAGGCCCCAAGCCTGGCCCCCCCTCACAGGGACCACTGGGTTCCATGGGCAAGGTAGGGGCTGTGTGAGGCCTACAAACCAATGGGTGAGGAGAGGGGCACAGGAAACAGGTGTCCACAGAAGGTCAGCAGGAACCAACACAGGTCCCTCAAGCTCACAGCCTCCCTTGAGCTGTGTGGCCACCTGCATTCACCCTCAGCCTCTAGCCCATCCCTCCACAGCCAGCCCAGAGCAGCCCCCCACCCCTGCTGCAGGCCAAGGGCCCCCAGCAGTGCTTCTCCAAGAAGGAAAGCATGTGGGCAAGAGGGCACCAGGGCTTGTTCTGGGCCCCAGCGGCCTGCCTGCATAGGCTGGACCCAGGTGTGTGTGAGGGGGGGCAGCCCGCCAGGCCCTGCCTTGGCCTCACCGATAAGAAGGCATGCACAATGTCAGCCTTGATGGAGCTCAGGGGCTTGTCCTTGATGACGAGGAAGATCTGCTCCTCCTTCTCCAGGTTGATGAAGTTCCCGAACCAGGACTTCTTGGCCAGCCTGGGGACAGAGGCTGTGATGACTGGCAGGCCCACCACCGGCCCCCAATGCTGGCCCCGTCTCACCCCTAATTTACCCACTCCCAACACCACTATGTGGCCAAAACCCATAACCATCTCCCCAAACTCAGCCCCAAACCTTAACCTGACCCCCACACTAACCCTAACCTAGCCCAAGCCTGTGGTCCCAACCCTCTCCAAATGTACTAACTCCACCTCCTACCCTGAACCTGCTCTCAGAGGCCCTGCTGGTCTCAGCTGCACATGCTGGACACCAGCCAGGCAGGCAGGGGTGGGAGCTAGAAGGGAGCCCCAGCCCTGCCCTTCTCTCAGGTCCCTGGGTTTGGGGTAGTCTGCTGTGCCCGTCCTGGCAGAAGTACCCCCAACCTGGTGTACAGGCAGGCATGGGAGAGAAGCTGCGGACAGCAGGGCCACGGGCCCCTTTCTTCTGGTAGGTGTCCTAGGGATGATGGCTGCTGGCTCTGTCTGGGAGACCAGGCCCCACAGGTAGATCCTGTTCTCCCAGACCTGGTCCAGGGCCAGTGTGATCTACACCTGGCCATGGGATTCACCTTACCACAGCCTTATTTCCTCAGACTGACCCAGCACCGGATGCCGCTGGCCTGCCAGCACCCACTGCTGCCCAGCGGGCCTCAGCTGCCTGACAGGCAGGCCCGGGCCCACATGGGCCCCTGCCACCCCAGGTCATCCTGCTCCTCATCCTCACTGCATGAGGCCACCCATCCCCTTTCCACTCTTTCCTAAGTCACAGATACCATCTGCAGTGTAGCCCCTGCCCGGACAGGAGCTGGATGCCAGTGTGTTGGGCAGACACTGCCAGCCTCAGTTGCATCCATAGGGGGCTACTGCCCCTGGGAATGGGAACCAGGGGGATATGGCAGACGTGCAGGTGGCACCTCTGAGTGAGGGCAAACGGCTCAGCCTCTTGCCACCTTGCTGGCAGTCTCCCCACCGAAGCCCTGGGGACCCAGCCTGCCCACCACCACAGGGCTGGGAGGGGCTCCTCCCCAGGGCCCTCAGACACCACCACAGTGCCCAGTGGAGCGCATCCAGGCTCCCGCCCTGGAAGCCAGGAGTTGCTGAGCTGGCAGGGACCTCTCCCCAGTGACCACCAGCCTGCACACCGGCAGCCGTAGGGCAAACACATCTAGTGCACCCACACAGGCTGGGGTGGCAATGCAGAGGCCGGTGGCAGGAGGGAGGTACCCCCATGCCACTGCCAGCATCTGGACCCAGGGCAGAGAGGGGGAGCAGCAAGGGCAGGAGGACCTGCGCGGGCAGCACCCGCCCTGGGCTGGCCTGAGGCTCAGCATGACTTTTGAGCGCAAGGTTCCCACCCAGCCCCTTCGTGCTCCTGCTGCCCAAAGTCCTCTTGTTTGAAGCTCTCTAAGTAAGCTCTCGGCCTGACCATGCCCAGTACCCACGTCAGGGCCTGAAGACCAGGGGCACTCAGGGCCTCCTACGGAGCAGACGGGAAGACACAGATGGGTTTCTGAAGCCCCTCCTTCAAGGAAGACAGAGAATAACAACTGAGGTCTTGGACTTTGGGTTCTGTGGTGTGGCATCTGGCACAGAGGGTCCCCTGTCTAAAAGAAGCCCAATGACCAGAGGGGCCCGAGTGGGCTGGGGTGGTTCTGCTGGAGCTCTAATGTTTTCATGGCTGGGCCATATCGTCCAGCCTGGGCGTGGACACCAGTGTCTGGGGATGAGAAGAGCACTTAGGTCAGTGAACTCAGGGAAACAGACGACCCCTCAGGAAGGGAGCCTTGCTTGACAGGCTTCCCAAGAGGAGAGAATTCTCCAGTCTTCACAAGGAAGCGGGTCACACTGTGGGCAATCAAGGGAGCCTGTCCTCGTGTTGTCTCTGGAAGCCACCAACAACCTGGGCTGGCGGCAGCCAGGGAGCAAGTCCTCAGAACGAAGGAGGTGATGGCGTCTTGAGCCTGGGGCCACTGCATCTGCTCAGGCCCTTGGGAGGGGATGAGGCTCCGAGGGCCCCCACCAGCGAGAGAGGAAGCGGGTTGGTGCTTTCTTCCAACTTTTCCAAAACACAGAAGACTTGCAAGTCTGAGGCTGACAGCTTTTGACAGCAGCCCAACTGACAGCAGAACCAAATAGGGTTCCCAGGCACCCGCTGGCCACCGTGCCTCCACCACGACGTGACAGAAAGTCCACGGCTCCCCTGCATATGCCGCTCCCAGAGGGTTTAGCACAGAGCAGGCTGCCTCCCGGGGTTCTTACTGAGCACCAATGGCAGGATAGGTCTTTCCCCTCGCTCTGACAAGGCTGTCCCCACCACCACTGTAGGCAGAGGCCACAAGACCCCCACCAGGCTGTGCTCTGCAGCAGCACTGCACAAGGGTCACGCAGCACTTCCACACATGTACATCAGCAGTGGCCAGAGAGCTGACCAGTAGAGGCCACTGTGAAGGACAAAGAGAGGGTTGGACGCTCACAGGCGTCACCATGGGATGTGCCATACAGGCACCTGGTGTCTGCAGGGTGGCCATGGCTCTGCCTGCCTGGGTGTCCTTTCCTCAAGTTCAGCATTCAAGAGGGCCAGGGCCAGATCTCACTCTGCCCACTCCATCGTCACCAAGCCTCTGCCAAGGCCATGTCCCCAAGCTCCTACCAAGCCTGCTAGGTCCTCCATGTTGCTGCTGGGCCCTGCATCCTGCAGCTGTCCCTCCTCAGCAAAGCCCGACTCCCTGAGACCCAACTGTCCCTACGATCTCCCAGGCCCTGGGAAGCACAGTGCACCCCCTGCACACCTCACCCAGTGGGGCCCAAGGTGAGACTCAGCAGCCCCAGTCGGTCCCTGCCTGCAGTGGGACCAGGGGAACAAGCAGGGCCGCCTCAAGAAGGACCCCACCTGCCCTTTGGAAGAGTCTCCCAAGTCCCTCCCCAGCTGGTCTGGTGTCCAGGTGCCAGGAGACCTCCAGGACCCACTTACTCTGGGGAGGACTCCGGGGTCAGGTTGGACATCTCCTCGGGTGTGGGAACTGCACACAAGGGAAGAAGAAGGAGAGGCTCAGCCCCTGCCCCAGCTCCCCCATCAACCCCACCAGCCCTCAGCCTGCAGGGAGCTGTCCAGCCTCTGGTGCTGAAGTCGAGCTGTGTCTCCTTCAGCCTCCAACCAGCCCAGACCCAGCTGGTCACCCAGCACTGTGCAGGGCCTGTGCACTGCCCACCACCTGTGGCAGCCGACCCTCTTCCCTGGGCTCAGGCAGCTCGAGCTGACAGCTGGCGATGCCGACACCCAGAGGTGCTGGCCCAGCCTGTGTGAGGTGAGCCTCGGGCAATGTGGCTGCTGCCACAGCTTCTCGTAGAACAGCCCCCAAGAAGGTGGCGGATACAGGGTACAGTGGGGAGCATGAGGGGAGGAGCTGGGATGGGGCGAGGGCAGACTTGAGAGGGCACCAAGGCTGCAGAGCAGCCCCCAGACCCTGCCATCTGTCTGTAGGCAACTCCAATAGGGCTGGGCAGGCCCTGGAGCTGTCCCCTGCCCTGGCCAGTGCTGGCTCTGACCTTGAAGTTTCCGGCGGTGGAAGCGGGGAGAGCCCAGGAAGCTGTTCTTGATGGAGTTGAGCCGTGTCCGCCAGGGCACCCCTCCAACACTTGGGCTGGATGGCGGTGTGGGGTTGGGCGTGCCGGCTGGGCTCTCCTTTGGCGTGTGGACAGGCGTCCCCTTGGGGGTAGGGAGGGGACTGCCCCTCGGCGAGGGGTGAGGGGTCACCTGTATGGTGGGGACAGATTTGGTGTTCGGTTCAGTCCCAGCGGGAGGGAGCCGGGCAGGGGGTGGCAGGGCCAGGGGGCCTGGGGGCAAGGCCAGCGGGGGGCTGAGGCTGGCGACAGGAGGCTGGGCCTGGGTGCAGGCGGGGAGTGGACTGGACGTGGTGCCCTGTAGTGGCTTGTCGGTGAGCTTGGCCTTGCACGGCAAGGTCTGGGTCTTGGGGTTGGGCCGTGGGGCGGCCTGTGGAGGGAGGACGGGTCCAGGCCGCGAGGTGCTCCGGCAAGCTTCAGGCTCCAGGGAGGTGGCCAGGGGACAGGCCGTGGAGGGGAGCTCGGGGGGAGGGGGGGGCAGGATGGACTTTCTAATGGGCTACGAGGGAGCAGAGAACAAGCGGGCAGGGTGACCATGCAGCCGTCCACATGCCCCACCCGCCCCATGCAACCCAGCATCAGAGCATCAAACAGGACCCCAAGCAGGACGGACGGGCAGCCAGGGAGGGTTGGCCACAAAAGAAAACGGAATGACGAGAAAACAAACAACACAAACAGAAGAACGTGCAGTTAGCAAGAGCAGCAGCCACAAGGCAGCCTGAGTCCCGGCCTGTGCCCACCCCCGCCCTGCGCACGCGGGACGGCAGACCCACAGCTGAGGTCAGGATGGCTAGTCACTCACCCGGGGACTGCTGAGTGGACTCGTGGACAGGCCCGAGGAGGCACCACTGATGGACCGAGACCTGGGGGTGGCAAAGGACAAAAGAGTGACTCGGCCAGGAGGGGCTCCTGCTCCTCTCCCCAGGTGGACACCAAGAGGCCTGGAGACCCAGCCCAGAGCCCCGGGCCTTGGGGCCTGGTTCACACCTGCCAACCCTAAGAGGTCCCTGGATGCACAGCTGTGCCTAGGATCGCCCTGCTGGCCTCACCCATCGGCACCCAGTGTGCAGCTGGGGTCCTTGGGGCTCCTCCCCACACACAGGAGCCACCAGCAGCCCAGGCCTGGCACAGGATGTGGTGCCCAGAGGGCCTCAGCAAGGTCTGCAGGCCCCTGGTAGATGGCAGAACGAGGGGCAAGGTGCAGGCTTGCTGTGAACTGGGTCCAGCCCCATCCTTGCCAAGCCTCCTGTTGGGTCCACTCCTCTGCCGCCTGAGCACGGACCCCAAGGCTGAGCTGTCACAGTGACGGGTGTGTGGACCACCAGCTGGGCACTAGCCCAGCCCTCCACATCCACAAATGTCCACCAGAGACGCCTGCGGCCAGCCCAGAGCCCCCCTCCTGCACCATCACTGCCCCACTTGGCTGAAGACTGGCCAGGCACAGCAGAGAGCCCATGTGTCCACCACCACAGGTGAGCAGCTGCCTGAGGGCAGGCACAGGCCTTGGCCCCACCACACCAAAAGAGAGGACAAGCAAAGGCCATCTCACCCCTGGGCAGCAGCACCTGCCGTCCTTAGAGGAGGGAAACGGGGGCAGGGGTGGCAGCCACAGGAGAGAAGAGGACAGGAAAAAGTAAAAGACCATCCCACACTGCCCCCAGTGTGCCCACTGTGGCCAGCCCGGCTGCAAAGGGCCTCCCGGCCCATACCGAGGACTGGCTCCTGGGCTCAGGAGCTACTGAGGGCACCAGCACCCTGGCCACCCTGGCCCTTGCCTGGCTCTCAGCTGGCCCCCGGGCACCTGTGGGAAGGGCCCCATGGCAGCAACCTGCAGGTCTCCCCACCTGACTGCCAAGGGAGAGGGAGGCAGCGAGACCCTCTGCCAGGAGCCTGCCTGGGCCAGCACTGGGCAAAGCCCAGGGGCAGAGAGGGAGCCCGGCCCCGAGGAGGTGTCCAGGGAGAGGGGGTGCCCCGGGGGCAGCAGCCACGAGCAAGCAAGATCAGGGCCCGGCTCCCCAGGCCAGCCAGGAGCTTGCCACCTGGCGCAAGGAGAGCAGAGGAGCTGCGGCAGGGCCGGGGCTGAGCAGGCCTCCTGCCTGGCCCCCGGTCACTGAGCTACAACTGGCACGGCAAGAAAGGCGCGGTCCTGAGGACAGTGGAGGGGGTGCAGGGGGAGGGAGGGGCCAGGGCACAGGCAGGCTCCACAGGGACGAGGCCCAAGGGGCCAGAGCTCTGGGAGGCAGCTCTGCAGGCAGTGCCCCCACCCAGGGTGTCAGCCACCACCTGCCAGCACAGGGGAACGGGGTGGCTGATCCCAGCCCTTATGGGCAGCAGGGCCACAGCAGCCAGTGCCAGCCAGGCCCACTGGACCAAGGCCAAGGGCCAGCAAAAGGGAGGCCTCCCTGCTGCCACGTGGGGCTCCTAGGGTGGGGAGCATAGTGGTGCCTCCCACCCTGGGCCTGTGTACGCACCGTTTGCGGTTCTTCCCCCCGGGCTGGCCATCAGCCTTGCCCCAGCAAACCCACCCCTCCTGGGCCACAGCACAGCTGGCCATGCTCCTTCCTTGGCTGGCTGGACATTCCATTCCCAGAGAGCAGGGGTGAGGAAGCGCCTGCAGCCCAGCCCCGCCCCGCCTCCAGGCCCTGCCTGTGCCTGCCTGGCCAGGCAGGGGCTGTGTGTCTGGGGCTGGGAGGGCGGACGGACGGGCAGGGTGTGTACCTGTCTTCTTTGCTGAATTGGGGATGGGCTTCAGCGATATCCAGGCTTTTACTGAACATTGCTTTACTACAGCAGGAACAAAGCGAGAAAACAGAGTTACTGCCGCGGCCACACGCACGCAGGTCACTGCCAGGCCCGTCTGCCGCCCGGGCCACACGGGCGAGACCTCCACACAGCTCTGAGGTAGGGCATGACCTGACAACCCCAGACCAGCACACAGAGACGGCGAGAGAGGACGGGGCAGGAGCCACAGCAAGCCTGCCTGAGCAATCTGCTGGGCAGGGTGGCCAGGCCTCGGAGGATGCCCAGCCCCCACCCCAGCCCCAGGACCCCTCCAGTCCTGGACAGTGGCCCCTGCGGCCCAGTGCCAAGAGGCCAAGCCAGAAGCTAAAGCAGGCTAGGTGTGCCAGGCCAAGAGGCCTCTGAGACCCTGGGGCAGTCCCACCCCACAGCAGCCAGGCCTGGGGGTGGGGGCAGGAGTTCAGGCCATGCAGGGTGGGAAGGGCTCAGGTTGGCCCCCAGCCTGCCCTGCAAGGCCCAGGGAAGGTGATGGCCACCAGAGCAGAAGGCATGCGCTCGGGCTGTTGGGAGGGTCCTGCAAGGAGCAGCATGCCTACAGCAAGCAGGACACCAGAGGAGACCCTGGGTGAAAGCGTGTCAAGGGGGACCCTGGCTGCCCCAGGCTGGCAGCTGGTGAACTGGAAGGAGGACCCTGAGGACTGGCACCCTGGGGTCAAAGGTCCAGCCAGCCCTGATCCCTGGTGAGGGCCTGGGGCCAGCACTGAGGTCTGGCAGTTTATCCTGATGGCCACCCAGCTGCCTTGTGTTTCCACAGTTTCTGGCAAGCTCCTTGGTGAGGCCCTTGGCACCCCACTGCCCACTAGAGAGAGGGGGCAGTGGGGTGCTGGCCCAGACCCCAAGGCTGAACAATGACAGCCAGGGCTAATGGGACTCCAGGCCCATGTCTGTCCCACACAACTAGGACTCCCACCTGGGGAGGGGAGACTGGAGACCCCTGCTCAGAGGCCACACCTAGCACCTCCTACAGCTCCGTCCCACCCAGGCAATGCAGGTTCTGGGCACCCCTTCTCCCTCCAGGGGTCCTACGGGACACACACCCACTCAGCACTCTCCCAGATTCCACATCCCTGGCCACGACACTGCCACTGGTCACCCACAGAGGGTCAAACATCAATGAGGGACAAGCCTTCTGGACTGGCAGCTTTCAACATGGCTTGATCACAGGACAGGACAGACCAGCCCAGCCCAGCACAGCACAGCTCAGCCCAGTTCAACCCAGCTCAGCCCAGTTCAGTCCAGTTCAGCACAGCTCAGCACAGCCCAGACCAGCCCAGACCAGCTCAGCCCAGCCCAGCTCAGCTCAGCCTAGCCCAGCTCAGTCCAGTTCTGCTCTGCTCAGCCCAGCTCAGCCCAGCTTAGCCCAGCCCTGCTCTGCTCTGCTCTGCTC